CTGCGAAGGGGACGACAATACCCCTCTGCCCCTCAGTCAGGGCTGAGGGGTAAAAACTGTGATGAAGAATAGCACTCACCGGTCCCCAGGTTCCTACTCTCCAGGCCTGTGAAGCAACGCAGGCCGGCAGGTGGCACAGCATGGTGCTCTCTGGTGGAGTCCCAGGACAGCTGGAGGAGGACTGGTACCCATACTCATAATGATCTTTCCCAGAATGCACTTCACTGCAGGACACTGGCCTCCTCCTATAGCCCTGTCCGCAGCTGACTGAGCACTTTGACAAGGGATGACAAAAGGCCAAGAATGAAGGATCGGTAGTGACTGGCTGTTGAGGTGACCAGTCACACCAGCCAATTCTACAAAGTCCATTCAGCCTTTTCCAGAATTCTAAGATTTTGGTAGAAAAATTCTGGAACACACAGTCACATTAAACAACACATATTTTATGCATAATGTTCACAATATGCAGCATTCTACTGGTAAAGTCACCTGATTACTGAACAGTGATATCATGTAGCAACTGTTAAACTGAACTATTCTAAATAGTTAAACTTTGTTGTCATCATTACACAATGGAATAAAGTTGGAAAAAAAAAATCCGCGAATAATTTATTGGAACAGTTTCACTTCAAAAATTGATGGAGAAAGGAGCGTTCCAAGGCTCCTGTCTAAGAACTAAGAACTATGTTATTTATGACATTACATAATGATTCTTGTATCTGAGATTTTTTTTAATGATCTGGTGGCAACGCATTTGACTACTCACCTCTGACCATTCCCCCATGATCCATAAAAACTCACAAGGCTGCATGATACAGCTCTCCGTGTCAGCTGGCTTTTTCTGGGACTTACAGAGCTTCTCATGAACCTCCGCCTCCCCAAAGTCGACACACAATACCGTCCTGCGTCTGAGGCCTGTTCCACAGCTTTTACTACACTGCAATACAAGCAATGCCAAAAACAAATTAGTCAGCCAGGAAGCTACTCTAACTGCCACTTAACCACTATCCTCACACACTAAAGAGAGGCTATGCCGAGAAAATTGTGATGGGTGATTCAAAGGTGCTTTTTATTCCGCATAAAAGAATCAAAAGTTGAGAGGCACAGCTGTAAACACTATTCTGTCAGATTTTTTTTTTACTTCGAGTAGAACAAGATCCCAAGGTAAAAACCAGTGCTTGTGCAATTATAGCAATATTGCAGTTCTGTTGAGTATTCAGCGTCAGTTAAAGCCTGCTTATCTTCAGCAACTGGTCGTATGGAGCACAAACGTAAGAGTGCTTGAATGAGGATATGTGCTTTCACAAGCTTGACTGATGTTTGCCCTCTCGGGTGAAATTACAAAGTCAGTGACGTACTTCAAAAATGTATTATTCACATTCTCAGGAAAAAAAGGCTTTTCACAAATTGAAATACAGATGCTTGTCCTGCATTCAGTGGTAACCCAAACCTGAGGGCTACAGACTTTGCGTCATGATAACTTGTGAACTTTTCAACTATTCCAAATGGATACCATCTGGAGTCTTTCCTCTTCAATGTTCAACCCTGTTAAACGTCTCCAGCACATCACATTAGGTGAACTTTACACAGTCAACTTCAGGCAACTGTATACCGAAAGGAAGTAACCACTATAAATTTGCCTTACTGAAAATGTAATTAGCTGTTTTCAATGACTATTCAAATAGTAGAAATAGGCCTCATCTTTTGATGTGTGAAATGTTTTTCCATCATTTGAACCACAGCTCAGGGTTTGGCTTGCAGCTCTTAATGTCATGGTAAAAATGCTGCAGCAATTTCACTTGCTATGCTTCCAAATGCTATTTCATGCAAGGTTGTTTGTACACACATAGAACAAAAACACATTTGTCTCAATGTAATCAGTTTAACTGACTGAACCAGCCCCTCCAATTCCTTTGCATGCCAAATGGGCTACATGGCTAAGCCATGGAGTGACGCAAACTCAGATCAATAGTTGAACATACGGATCACTGCCTTTAGTAAAGATTAAATACATAACCGAAAAGAGAACTAGATACAGTTGCACAAATAATAATTATAATAAAAAAACTTTAAAGATGTATTTACATTAAAAAAGACAGCTATTAAAAGGAGACAAAATTGAACTACACTACACATTCCTTTGAGTAATGAATAAACTCAAGTCGGAGGAAGCAGTTCATATTTCTAGGAAAACTGTCACATTCTGTAAGTTTTCTGAGTTTGAGGAGTCCCACTGATGTCCTGTGTGAGGCAATATGACCCAGCTAGCGTCCAAAAACGGAGAAAGCATCCCTAATTGTCCGCAGCTGTCGAGTAGAGCCAATGGAGGCGGGGAGAGGGGTTCCTTTGCAAGGATGGATCTCCACTAATTAAGACTTTTCTTCTGAGTGCATGCTGGTTCTTGACCCAGATTTTCAACTCCCTCAACATTTTCTTTTACTAGAAGCATTTTAGTAAATGCTGCTGCACATGAAGAAAAATTCCTCGGAATACTATGCACTCCAACAGCCAATTTATCAGAGCAAATGTGGATTATTGCACTCATCGAAAATCTGCATTTTGTTAAGACAGTTGGTTTGCAATGAAAT